AGGTCTATATTTCTTTATCCAAATCACCCAGCAATGCTGAGGTCCTGAGCCACTTCCTCACTGCTGTCATTAATTGAATAAGGGTGAGCCGTCCCTGAAGAGACAGGGTTGGGAAAGCTGAGGTCTTGCGGAACATTGTGCTCCCCACATTTCATGAGGGTCAACTGACCCTCACTGACTCAATTGAGAGCCTAAGCTGGACTCAATATTACTGCTGGAGAAGCAAGTTAATCCAGCTGCAAAAATGTTTTCTTCCTTCTTTAATTTGCCCAGAAGATGATCTGATCGGCCACATGGACCCATGCTATGATCACATGGAAGCTAGACTATTGTAATGCACTCTACATGGGTCTACCATTAAAGTCAGCTCAGGCACTCCAGCTGGTTACAGAACATCACAACCGCGTTATTGTTTGGAATTTGGTAGTGTATGCATATTATATCCATTCCGCAGTCACTCCATTGACTATTGATCAGTTTCCAGGTCCAAGTCAAGGTACTAGTTATCACCTACAAAGCCTTTCATGGCCATTGACCCACTGGTCTGCAGGACCAACTTTCCACTTATACTCTGTCATGACAGTTTTGCTCATCGGAGCAAAACCTTCTGAAGGTAGCACTTGTAAATGAGTAAAAACAAGCAGTGGCCCATGCCTGAGCTTTTTCTACTGTAGCCCCTGTCTTGAGAAATAGCCTTCTTGAGGACAGGAAGGCTTACAAACATCTGTCATTCCATGGAACAGGAAGACATTTTTGGGAACGAAATCAGGATGCAATGGAATTGAATGGTTCAGAATGGTGCTGTTATGAGGGCATAGGGTTGTGGTTTATTGTACATTATATGTATCTTAATTTGGGGGCTTTGTCTTCTATTTCGTAATCAATTTTCTGCATTGTCCGTGGTATGCCATGTGATGTCTTAGACAGTTTGGGGTTTTGTGGTCTGTACTGTTCTCTAATTTTGTAATTCGAGTCCTGTCGCATTGCTTATTGGATGCAATCAAACAAATGACTAAGCAAGAACTTAAGTTGTAATGGCTATGTCTCAAATACAATTGAATATATATATATGTTTACTGTGAGCTTTTGCTGAGTACCTAGGTTTGAATGGTCTGCTCCTTGAACTGCCTCATTTATTGATTGATTGATTGATATACTGGATTTATGAATCACCCAATCCCTGCGAGCACAAGGCTTTGGGCAATGTACAGCAGTTAAAAACAATGTTAAAATCAATAAAATCTATATATCAGTTACAGAATCTCAGATGGCATCAATATTTCTTCTTGACCCACTCCGGACTATGTTGCTGTTTTGCGAGTATGGCAAGGAGGGGGCCAAAGGGAAAAGACAGGAGGAAAGGAGTAGGGTGCCAGCTATGATGGAACCATTCCTGTCCTCAGCCAAAGGCCTGGTGGAACATCTCTGCCTTACGGGCCCTGTGGAATTGCATTGTCCCATAGGGCCCTGGAGGTATTTGGCAGAAAGTTCCACCAGGTCAGAGCCAGAGCCGAAAAAACCCTGGCTCTGATTGAGGACAGCCGGATATTTTTAGGGCCAGAGATCACCAGTAGGTTGTTTTCCGCAGAACATAACTCTCTCCCGGAGACATACCAGAGGAGGCGGTCCCAAACATATGCAGGTCCCAGACTGCTCAAGGCCTTAAAGGTCAATACCAAAACCTTGAACCTGACTCGGTACTCCACTGGGAGCCAGTGAAGGCAGTGTACCTGGCACAGCACAGGATGAATATATGCCACCCATGACATTCCTGTCAGGACTCATGCCACCACATTCTGGACCAGCTGAAGCTTCCAGATCAGTCTCAAGGACAGGCCAGTGTACAGCGAGTTCCAGTAGTCCAGCCTGGAGGTGACCATTGCATGGATTACAGCAGGAAACGGGCTAATTGCCGACCCTGGTGCAGATGGAAAGGGGCTAATTGCCAAGCCTGGCGTAGATGGAAAAATGCTAGCCTGGCAATATTCATGACCTGGGCCTCCATGGTTAAGGAGGCATCCATGATCATGCCCAAACTCTTTATGGATTGCACCGGTGTTAGTGGTGCCCCATCAAAAGTAGGAAGTCTGTGCTCCAATCGTAAAGCTCCCCCGCCCCCGCCACCACAGAAGGTCCAGATTGCAATATTGCACTGCTATCTGCAAGGTCCTGGGGGGGGGGGGGGCATACCTTTTTTTTCTCTCCAAATACATTACATTTCCACACAGAATCAAGTGCATTTAGGGTTTTTTTAAACCCTAAGGTTAAAATTTTTTGGTAGAATACTCAGTAACGTCACGTGTTCAGGAATATGCACATACGAACTATATCAAGATTCCAATTCCTTCTAGGTCAGGCCACATTGATTAGAAAGAATATTGAAAGAGTTCCTTCAGATACCCCAAGAGAGCAAGAAAGTAGACCAGAATATCAGCAGTTTATTGTTCCGCATATATCTACACATTTTACCTATGTTATTACAAAAGTAAATCTACTTGCAAAGAAAAACAGGGCAAAATGTTCTAAATAAATGAATAAATGCTGGGTTTAAGTGAAGTTCTGGAAAGGATGATCCTCCATGAATAGACACCGAATAAGTCAAGGTAACGATAACAGCAGGTAAAAATAATAGATTTTGAATTCAGTCTGTCTTGGGCAGTTATTTCTATTACCAATGAAATGATCAAAATCAGTCAGAAAAATAACGTGACTCATTCACATAGTACTTTTCAGTACCATCATAATGTTTGTTTACTGTTTTCAGAATTGAAAGCTCCAGCTGAATTCACCCAGTGCCTTCCAGGAGCAGCCTTTTGGTGCCACCCACAGGATAGCCAGAGATATGGGTCACAATTCTTTTGAGAAATCTCTTATTTTCATGCTCTTTATAAGGGGGACAGCTGCAGTCAAATAACTGTTTTCAGGCTTAACTGTTGGCCAGTGAACCAAAACATTTCCTACCTTAAAGACAAAAGTGATTCAAAAAACTAAAAAGATTGGCAGCTGGCCATTCACATGCATTATGTGTAGTGGCTCCCACTTTCTGGAAGGACCTGTCTGAGGAGATCCAGAAGGCTCCCACACTTCATTCAACATTCAGGAGGACATTTGTATGAAGAGAAGATATTTGAATGGAACAGTCCAGGAGGGCACATGTATAATGGAATAGGATTTAGGGTTTGTTAGGTCAGGGGGTCAGGAGGCCACCTGTGGGGGATGGGGGCATAGGGTTCCTAGGTCCAGGTTGGGAAACTCTTGAAGATTTGGGAGTGGAGCCTAGGGAGGACAGGGACCTCAGTGGGGTACAATGCCATAGAGTCCACCTTCCAAAGTATCCATTTTCTCCAGGGAAGCTGATCTCTGTCATCTGGAGAGAAGCTGTAATTCCAGGGGATCCCCAGGTCCCACCTGGAGGCTGGCATTCTACAGTAATGGTTATTCTAAACATTATCCTGCTTGTACTGCATTATTTTCTAAGATACAACAGAATAATAAACAGGAATAACTGGATTTATACAGAATCAAATTTATTACTTTTTAATTCTGCTCTCCCGTAGAGAGTTTTTCCTGCTCCATTGAAATTGTAGTTGTTGTTGTTCAGTTGCACTGTGAGTCCAACTCTTCGCAACCCCATGGACCACATCACTCCAGGTATGTACTCCTAACTACCATGTTGCACTCTAACAACCTCCATCACGCAAGTGATCAAATCAGCAGACCCAACATTAGGCATCAGTACCAGCCCAGAATCTCACAAATGATCTATCATTATAAATAATGAAATTAGCTCTTCTAATATCAATAAAAGGAAGGACAGGATTGCCCATTGGAAACAATGGGAAACACTTGAAGGCCCATTGGAAGGCCCATTGGAAATAATGGGAGCGAGGAATGCCAATTGACTTGCATGGGCTCCATTGAAATACATTACAGGACAAGTAGAGTTGCAATAAAAACGCGGAATGGATTTTTCATTAGGGTCTTTGGGCCCAAATACACTACTCTGGGATTGGAATGAGAGACCACAGAGAACACAACAATCATGTGCCATAAACACAAGATAGCAATGAAAATCTAGGAGCCCCTTTTCTGTTGTTGTGACTTTGCTGTGTCTTGAGTATTTGGAGTTCATCTATCACAATCGCTTTACCTAAGCTAGCACTTGATAGGAGTGGGGATTTGACAAAAGATGTTTAATGTTCCTTCAATGACAGTGAATGTTTCTTCGTGGGAAATTTCCCTGCAGGGCAGGTGTACATGTATGTGCAAAACAGCAGTTTAGGGAACTATGAATGAGAGAGCAAGAGAGATGAGCATTCAGCTGGTTAGCTAAAGTAAACACCATATTGCATGTGATGAGAGAAATCCAGGATCAGCTTCTCTTTCAGGGCGAAGATTCTTTCAAGGGGACTGTTTTCCACCTGTACCATCCACCTGGCAGTTAGTCAGAGGAGCTGTTATCTGGTGCTGCATGTTTCACTCCAAAGCCTTCGGAGCCGATCCTTCTAAGGTCTGGAATCTGCATGACCACACTGCCTTGGCTACAAGTAGAAAAAAATTCCAATTTGAAATATCTGGATGCAAGAGACATAAAAAGTGTAGAGAGGGTCTTTTTGTCCTACTCCAAAGCCTTCGGAGCCGATCCTTCTAAGGTCTGGAATCTGCATGACCACACTGCCTTGGCTACAAGTAGTACAATTTTCCAATTTGAAATATCTGGCTGCGAGAGACGTAAAAAGTGTAGAGAGGGTCTTTTTGTCCTCTTGTTGTTAAGTTATGTTTTGAGCCCCACTTAGCTGGAAAAATGCACTCTTTTTTTGGGAAAAAAAAAGTAAAAGCATTTATGAAAGCAACTCAGATCACAAATGTATAGCAGATGTGGGGGAAAGCTAACATTGATCTCTCTGTTTTCTCACTTTAGTCCTCGTACTTCTTCTGTGATTTGCTGTAAAAGAGAAAACATGCAAGTACCTATTTAAATGTATTTATTCTCCCTTCAGGTAAAACAGTAGCTTGTGGTGAGTGGGGTGAAATCAGGAATATGGCATTGAAGGTAAGGTGTCTGACCCTCCATCCCCTGCACAATGTTGATTCAGGATCCATCCCATAGCTACTTTCACAGTTAACAGAACCCCTGAATTACTTTTTAAATTTTAAATTAAACAAACGAACAAATAAATAAGGCTTTTCTCCAAATGTGTGGGTTCCCCTGAGTTTGCAAAACCCTAAGTTGTAGCTGTGGCTGGCTCCATGATGTGCCTTTGCTAGTGATGCCAGCCTCCAGGTAGGACCTGGAACGGCAGCTCATCTCCCAATGACAGTGATCAGTTCCCCTGGAGAAAACTGATGCCTTGGAAGGTGGGCTCTATGGCAATTGTACTCCACTGAGTTCCATGTTCACCCCAGGCTCTATCTGCAAATCTCTAGGAGTTTCCCAACCTGGACCTGGCAACCCTAG